TAATGGCTTTCTCATTACACTTTCACAATTGGTTATATAAATACACCCACTGTCAAAAATCACATTAATAGACTACAAGCTAATTTCTGGGCTGTGTGCCTTATTCTTTGATTTGTAGGCCCACTTTGCATTCTAGATGAATGCTTCACTGGTTTAAGTTCATTTATAAAACTGTGATTAGACACCTTCCATCTGTATTACAGAACATTTCTCAGTGTCATCATACAATTTAAGATGTAGTGCTTTTATTAGATTGAACCTTTCAAAAGGGATTACTCTTTTTTTGACAGCTCGTTTGTTTGCTAATAATGACTGGAACAATTTGCATGGTAAAAAAAAATCTCTCCTACTTTGAATCAGAAGGTGCCTTCGGTTGTGTGGTTTCATCCTTTCTGTCTGATATGTACAGTACACATGATTAAAATGATTGTCCTTTCTTCCTGTACTCTGGTTTCACAGCAGTAATGGTGTAAATCTCTGGACCAGGATGTCATTGTGAATGGGAATTTGCCCTCGACTGACTCGAGTACATAAAACAAAGTAGATTTAGGAACTCTCAGTCACAATAATAGTCAGTGGCAGGCAATGCAGTGAATGGCTTTAGGAGCGCCAGACAGATTTCCTTTGCCTTCTCTAGAAAAACAATCTCCAGGTCCCCATTCTATGGAGAACTGGTGGGACCAGCAGAGCATGATTAATTCCACACACCCTTACCCTCAACACTACCTCAACTAAACTTTAATCCTCTTAGGAGGATTGGATGCAATGATGCGGCAAATATTTCAGAACCTTGCAGAATACTCTTACTGTACAGTATGTCCCAAGTCGTGTTCAGTCTATTCCTGGTACTTATAGAAGCTCAGCACTTTTTGTGATTTCTTAATACTGTATTTTGGCCAGTGAGTGTACAGTGTATAACCCTCCTGAATCAACACCCACTTATTTTCCATCATGTGCTGTATATTTTGTCACATGCTTATAAATGTGTTAAGGTTTGGTTTCTAGGTCTGTACATATAGTATGTACAAACATGCACACATACAGTTTTTATGTGTACTGTACGTAGCAAGCAGAAGGTCTACCCTCACTTGTATGCAGTACTCTAGTTATCAAAGTTTCAGGTCTTCATTAAATTGTATAAACTACTGTGTACTGGGTCTTATGTCCTCTGGGACAGACAGGCCTAGTCAGCCAATTTGAAATGTATTGCTTCGGTTTTAATGAAATGTGGGGCAGTTTTATAAGAGATATTAGATATTGTCTCATAGCTCCCTTCCATTCCTCATCTATTCCAACACTGCAATCTATAAAAGGCTTATTGACCTAGCTAAACAATTGTGATTAATGCCAGTCTGCTGTACCTGTCTGTTCTCTCATAATAGCCTATAAACCCAAAGGAAAAGAGACTGTTGGAAGCATATTCAGAAACTTAAGACACTTAGCTTATTGATTTTAAAATATCTTTAAAGTCAAATGTTGTGGCTCAAAGCAAGGGACAGGTATAACATATGTGATCAATAGTGCTAATAGAACTAATAATTCTTGTGTATAAGGTGTGCTTTTACCATGTATACAATGTAAAATGAATAAGGGTAATTTATTATTATGGCTTTCTAGAGACTTTACAGAAATGTGTATTCAAATACAGCCTTGGGAAACCTCTTCATCACTTATTTTGCAATAGTCCTACTTTGAAGCGTGATGAAGAACAGTAAACATTTCTGTTAAGGAATAAACACCCAAGTAGAGGTAATTAGTGTATTACAGTCAATGATCTGCATTTTTAATGTTTATTTTACTATTAGTTGGTATTGTGTTGGCTAATTTGTCAAATCTCAAAATGCAAGTAACATGGGCTCTCAGATTAGCAATTAAAAATCAACAAACCTGTGATGAAACCTGAAAAAAATGAAATGTGCCAGAATCTGGGTTTCAGCCTTCCTCTCACTCAGACTTACACTATTATTCAGTTACTTGTTTGAGTTTAACCAAAGTGTTTAAACATATGAGAATGTTTGACAGTGTCAGTCACAACTGGGCCTGTACCTTATTGATTGATAACCAATGAGAACTGTTTGCAAGGTTTAGAGGAGCATCAGTTTTAAACCTCGTTGAAACCAAGCTCGTCTCACTCTAGACTTATGGGAAATAACTCTCATAAAGCAGACTTGGCTGCAGAAAACAATTAAAAGTCAATTATCTGCTTCATTTTAGGATTGAATACTCTTAATTGATTTAGAGCTTAGCTGGACCGAAAACTAAAAAACACATGGAGGAGTGACGGACCAGGATTTGGAAGCACTGCTTTAAAGTTTTAAGTGACAAAAATGAACACAAATTATTGTGTGTACTAATTTATTATTTTTATTTTTTTTGTAGGTTATTTCATTTTATGTGTGTATTTTTTATATATATATCAAGGCAAACATAATTAAAATAAGCAGGCTTTACTTGGAGATAATATGTACCTGTATTTACTGTACACACATGTACTGTATATGCTGCTGCTCCTTCATGCCGGAAGGCATAAATGAGCAGACCTCCATCCATCCATATACGTAGAACACAGAGCAGCCTGAAACACAACGATGACTGGTATCTTGAGATCATGGGGTTATGGAAGTACTCATGTATACCACAGGGCACAGAAGTGGGCACAGAAGTGTTATAAAAAGAACATAGGAGCGTGAGAAAGGTTAGGGAAGAGATGTGACTATTCTAACTTGTTTGGTTGCTATTCTGTAGGTAGCTGATTAGAGGATTTCATCCAACCATTAATGTAAAGAAGTTGCCTTTGACAACATGGCTGATAACAAATGTTTCAGCCCCCCACAACACTTTGTGTAAATTGGAAAAATTGGTCATAATCCTCTTTGACTTTGAAAAAAAAAAATCACTGCAGTATGTATGGCTTTAATTTTAGCTTGGAGAAGTAAACTAAACAAAAAGTCAATTTTAACCTGACTTCTCCAGAGTAAATCTAACTATGAACACTGCTCTGTGGTCCTTCTGTAATTTATAATGTTCAGACAAAAGATCTTCTAATGAATTTATATGGAGACATTACAATGTCAGTTTCTTGATTGCCAGCCAGATGTTTTTCTGCTATAAACTGGGTTTCCTTGTAATTACCTGGGCACTAAGTCTGTGAGTAATTGATGCTGCCATTATTGAGCACGTAGAATTTGATACCCAACACCTTATTGACCTATGAATATAAATTGCTAGGTTTCTGTATAAAAATGGCAACAACATATTCATTCTTCTTTATCTCCTAAGCTGAAAAGCACACAGATAGCACAAAATGCAAGCTTTTTATTGCAAACCTACCCCCAGAAAATTACATACTTTGTGCAGTTAAGCTTTTTATATTCATTTTCACACAGGAACTAACGGGGAGGTGGAGGAGAGTGAGGTGCGATAGGTTCAGCGATGGTGGCCTTTGCCACCAGTGAATATTCATCATCTATTCACTGTGTAAAATTACAGAGTTAACTTCTAGCTCTCAATTAAGTTTTTTTTTGTCTTTTCAGTGACTTAGAATATCTAAGATATTGAAAAGAAATGTTTCTTCAGTTAATATATTGTTCAGAAGATTGCTGGTATAATTAATGCATATGTCCTTAATTATGAGGTGCTACAATATACAGTATGCAGTGATAAGAATATATAATTTTCCTACAAAGTGCCCCACATAATTACCCTAGCCTTGCAGCTGCTGTTTTCATTTTTTCAGGGAATTGAAACATTTTGCTAAACATCATTCATACTTATTGATTATTTCCTAATGAAAAATGTCTCTTTTCGTTTTGTATAACAATTACAGAAATCTTACATTTTGAAGGTTTTAACATACAGTGCTGTTGCATACTTGTGAGTGGTAATAATTCTTGCGTATAATGTGCGTTTTACCATGTATACAGTGTAAAACAAAATAAGAGAAGTTTATTAAGGTGGCTTTCTAGAGTCTTTACAACTGTGTGCATTAAAGTACAGCCTAGGGAAACCTCTTCATCACTAAATTTGCAATAGTCCTACTTTGAAGCTTGATGAAAAAAAACCCTAACACCCCAAGTGTGATGATTGAATTAATTCTAGTAATCATCACAAAATCCTGATTTAAAAAGACACCCTCTCCCTTAGTAGAGTTTGTAAACAGATGTTCGGGAGGAAGTCGAATTATAATCTCGCGCTTCCACTCTCTTATACAGTACATAACTATCTTGCCTGTGTTCTTTCTCATACTTTCTACCTCAACCCCATCTTCACCTTTGCAGCACCTCCCTGGCTCATTCCTCATAATTGAGGGGGGTTTGTCAGCTTCAACTTTATGGCCAGGGATGTCACTCCCACAACCAGGCGAGTGAACACCCAGGAGTAAAACAAATTAGTGCGCTAACCTTACAAACGTCATTGGTGCATAGATTAGAATTCACCTGAACTACTGAAATACACTTCAGCAAACAGTTAAATTCCTTTCGCTTGAGGGTCTGTTTCATCATCTTACGCAGTACTGGGTTGACTTTGGTTTTCTTCCTGCAGTTTACGACATAAGGAATGGTCTAAAGAACTAAGATCTTAATTTCTTTTAATTTCTTTGGAATATATTTCTCTGGATAATGTTCAATATTATTGCTTGGTGCAGACATCTTCCTTCATGCAGCAGAATGTGTTATTAACACAAAGCAGTGTGGTTTGCTTGATCAGTCAGATGTGCAGGGCCACACTGTGGTTTGCACTGTGTATGCTTGTTCAATAATTTCTCCACTTAGCAGAGGAGGAAGTGCATGACTGTGCACTTCTGATGGATGCAAGTTGAAACCAAATTCAGTACTTTTCTCCCAGCACACCAAGAAAATCCATATGGAAAATGTGATGTTGTACTACCAGGGACCAAAATAAAAAAAAGCAAAATAATTAAATCTGGTAGATGTGTTGTAAAACTAGACGTCAGTATGTGTTTGAAAATTCTTTTATGCTTTTTTTTCTTCTTTTTACAGGAAAGTGGAACAAAATGTAACCCCTCCAAAGTGTATGTTTTCGAACCTGAGGTAAGTGATTGAAGGACTGAAGTTCTTAATCTAATGCATGTAACGTTTGTCTTATTGAGTGGTTTGTGTTTCACTGTTAACTCTGAAGAAGTACACTGTAGTTTTTATTGACAGCGTTTAAGGATTTTGGATACTTGCATCAGGTCCACTTGTAATCTTCTTAGTTCAAGACAAAAGAGGTTCAGATCCTTCAGCCTGTCAGTGTAGTACTCTCCCTTAAGCTCCAGAATGTATCTCCAGAAAGTATCTGTTCTACACTGTGGTGGCCAAAAATGAAAAAAAAAAGAAACTTATTAAAAATGTATGTTCCCCCTTGCATATTAGTAACCAAATGTTAGGACTGAATGTTCTGAAAGCACAGATGTTAAATGTATGGGGTGTTCTACAGCCAGGTTGAAGTACTCTTGCCTCTGGTTATTTACTGCTCTTTAGTGAAAGTTAAAATGAAAGCATTTTTGCACACACCGTCTCTCAGCATGCTGACCTGTCACCAATGTTTCTTCCTTCCACAGACTCAGGTTCATCCCAACCCCTTTGACCTGGAAAATATACGAAATGTGGAGCCAGAAGACGTAGACAGGTCTGACAGTGTCCATATGTCCAGCAGTGTGGCTCTGCTCGCGCTGTCCTGTTTAGCATTGAGAATGGCTTTATAAAACCTGAAGAGGTCAACACACTGACCTGCAAAGAAAAAAACAAGTCAAGCAACAAAAAATGACATATGGAACTTCAGAAACCTTGCTGTCTCTCAAGCTTTCCCTCTTTCAACAGCAACAACAACAATGGAAAAAACAACCAAACAATTTCTCCAGAAAATTGATCCAAGACTTCTTTCTGCACTGTAGCCATGCGGGAGAGAACGGTGGTTCTTGTTCTTGTCGATTTGCCAACTCTAGATTCCAAAGTTGAGACCTGAAGAAAAGACTAAAAAAAAAAAGACTAGTACCTTTGGGTCTCCTTCCTAGCTGCTTGGTAGACCAGTTGCTAACTCAAGACAATGAAGAGCAACGTCTTTCCTTGTCGAGACGTTTTCCGAACACAACCTGAAAGACATTTTGCTTTTTTTGCGGAATCGGTTTCCGTTCGCCTTCCCTGCATTCTCACCCAGCCTGGGAGGATTCTGTCTGCGTGTTGCAGTGTCCCCAGTGCTCAGACTTTATTATTTACTGTATTTCACATGGCAGTCTTTGTCCAGCCCTCTCCCTCCAACAAATGTGCATTTTCTTTTCTTTTTCTTTGCCAAGTTCAGCCGTACTTAAGGAATGACGAGTTCCTTCCTTCTTTAAAAAATAAAATGATTTCAGGTATAAATCTTTATTCTGTTAACTCAACACGTAATTAAATTATATATACATGTGATATATATAATATAATGTAGGTACAATGTCATCCTACTGCTTTTATTTCTATTCTGTATTGGGTTGAAAAATAATAAAAAAAAATAGTTTAAGAAAAGGTTAACTGCATAAACTGACAAAGTCCGTATTTGTCAGTATGTACTTGTTTGAAGTTGACGGAAAACCCTGCCGCCTTCTTCTTCAATGTGTTAAAGTCTGTCTGTGAGTATAGCTACAAAGTGTTACACTTCAAATGTACAAATGTAATTTCTCATGAACTAAAAACGAGATGTTGAAAGGCAGGATGGAGCTCTGATACTAAAGAAAATCAAAGGAGAACAAAATGGCATATGTGTCTCTGAAGAAGTGCCAATAACTGTAGTTTTAGGGTGTTTTGTGTAAGTATTTTTTTTTTTTGCAAATATGGACTTGAATTATTTTCAAAGATGCTCCTGGAAATGAAAACATGGTTTCATTTGCTTAGAAAGTAATCGTTAGTGTATTTTCTAGTGTGCAATCTTTCGCGTGGCCTTACATTTTTTGGGGTTTTAATTTCTCCTTTTCGAGGTGAGATCTGGTCCTCTTTCAGGCTTACTGAAGTCCCAGCCTGTATTAGTTGTGTTTTAAGGTTGCCAGGAGAGGGTCGGTGCCATGCGCCCGTAAGGAAGGCTTAAATCGCGCCTTCAGCAAATGTACAGGGTTGGCTTCAGCCAAGTTTGGCACTTTGACTTTTCATGTCCACTAAACAACACACCATAAAGTATAACATGCAAAACAAAAATATGAAAGGCATGTGTGTATTCTGTTTTTTGATCTTGATTATAATTCTTCCTCTTATATTGGATTGACATTAAATTCATTTTAATACTGAACAAAACGCAGGGAACTGAAGTCATTGGAAACACTAGAGGCTTTCTGGTGTACAGGTGCGCAGAGACGTACAGTCCATGCATAGTGGTGGCAGTATTTCAAACACCATTTTTTTGTTCAGCGGGGCTCTGATCAGTTTTCTGGCCCTAAATTAGGAAAAGAGCTCTACACGTCTTAATTGAAGTCAGTCAAAAATAGCTTGATATTGAACATACTTCAATTCAAAATAATTGCAAACGAATTCCTTTGATTACAAGAAATAAAACACAGTGAAATTGTCTTTCATTTTGCATCTTTATCTCAAAATTAACACAGTGTTGCCTCTGGTTATTTAAAGAGTACACAGCTTACACAAACAAAACATGATTCGTCCACATTTTATGTAGTATCTAATGAGCTGCCACCAACACATTTATATTTTAAAAAACATCTAAAATCACATTTTAGTGTGAAAGTTAATGTAATAGAACTGTGATTTGAAAATGCCTTCATTTTACACAGAAAATGGTGTACAGTTCCAGAGAATGTGTTAATAAAAGAGGTGTGGCACAAGAGATCTGTGAGATTACCACAATGGATAACACTGTAAATAGTATTTTGCAACTAATATGTTTTAGAAGCAAACTCTACTTTCAAACACTGGTGTCCAAATGAACTACAGATTCAAAGTTAGGTACCTCATAACATGCTTATCGATGAGTGTTCTGGCTCAGGTGAGGATAGTACGTTTCTCCTCTGCTGCTACCACTTTAATACATTAATTGTTACTTGCAAATTTAAATCATACAGTAAATTAAATATCTGTTCAACCTAATAGAAGATAGCTTAGCAGCAACAACAGCAAAATAAAATCCTATTTTGGTAAGAGGTTGATGTTTCCAACTACGACTAACATAGAGACTTAAAGTTACTCTTTTTATAATCTTGTTTCTTAATTATCAGTTTTAATTAGGAAGGGTTAATTGGTTAATGTTCTGTATTGGTAACACTGATCTGATTCTGCTGTGCACAGAGTAGAACCACAGCTTTTAAACTGTAAAACCACAATTTCACAAAATCCAGAAGAATGGTAAGAGTTTGCTAAACACCACATTCTGGAAAAGATCCACCACAATCTCGAATAAAATAAGACTGCATCATTTTGTAAGGTGTCATGTGAATTGCAAGAGAATCTTGGTGTTCACATTTATAATTTTGTCCTGTTGGATTTGAAAATGGTACATGTTCCTAAGAAAAATGTAATAGATTGATTGGAGATTAACAATCAATACAATGAGAACATAATTTTATCTATGACATTGTATGCCTACAGTATATACAGTATGTTGTATTTAACGTCAGGTATTGCTAGACTGGTTCACATGAAACATATACAGAGATAAGGTATAAAGGCTTAGTATATCATGATCATCACATGCTCAATGTATCCTTTGTACATACGTATGCTTTCACTACAGTCTGTGAGAATCACATACAGTATGCAACTAATGTACGACATTAAACATTCGCATTTTGACTATCTTTTCATTTCCACTGCATAGCGTGTTACATGCTGTTCATGAAAGAAAATCCCACTGCTCTTTCATAAGCAATTCATTCACATTTCATATACTGTACATCACACACAAGTAAACTACTGATGTGAACAACATTTATAATAGAAACCCTGAAGTTTTTATAAACTCCACTCATGGTAAATATTAATGAGATCCTCAATATCCAGGAGCAAAATGCTGACACTGTACTCTCCTGTATGTGAATATAGAAGTTAAAATGATTTTTTTTTCATCTGAAATGAATTCCCAATACAAGGTTTGTGAGCTGTTCGCAAAACCATATCAGTTTGTTTCTGTCCCTGTGCTAATGGCAGTGATAAATAAATGACCCTAAACTTTAAACAATTTGTAGAAAAACCATATTTTTTCCTCCCAGTTGAAAATGACATCTTGGAAAACAAAAGAAATTGGTCCTCCAAGGCTGATGTAATTTCCTACAGTTGAGCAGTGATATAGAAAACTTTGTCAGTAACAGGAAGCCCATACAGAAAACAGAAAACAAATAATAAAAGGGTTATTAAAAACAAAACAATCTGTGAAAATTGTCATTTTGTAGGGAACATTAAAGAGAAACGTTTGCACAACACTAAGACAAGGGAGGTTGGTACTTGGAACTGTTCATTTTTCTATGAAGACTCACTGGCGATTCTTTGTTACATTGTGTATAGTGCTTTGTGTCTAGTGTTCGGTACTGCATTACAGTACATTTAAAGGGTTGTCATTCTAGAATCCTGTGTCTGCCCTCTTTGTACCCTGGAAAGCTTTCAATTCCTGTTATATCATTTCAGAAGATTTAAACAATAGAAAAAGTAGAAAAGTAAGAAAAGGGAGTATTAAGAATTGTTATGCCCAAATGTGCTACCTAATAAGATGGTCAACGGAAACATTTGAGGGACACTTTCATTTCCTGTAAAATGTATTATAGGAGATGCTCTAGGGAAATATCAGTATCAGTAATATCAGATCAGTATTTTTCTTTCAACAATTAGGACATTTTTTTACAATATACTTCCTTTTTCATAAAGGTGTTCTACTGAGCCATCAAGCATGTAAGCGCTCACACCTTTTTTTCTTATGAGGAGGAATCTCCGTTTACAATTGGAAAACAGATTAAAAGACGCAGGCATGCAAATCACACTGTCCTTAAAAGGTTTAATGATCACATCCCAGTCAAAGCAAAATGCTGAAGTAGTTGAAATAAGGTCACACAACCATCTGTGAATTTGAGCAACTAAGAACTTATTAGACAAGCTCCAAATGAGACAAGCTACTGTATACAGCCCATCTTTGGTTGCTATTACTTATCTGATACTTTATAAATCATTTTTTCCATAAAAGGGTGTAAACACACTGTCACAGATCTCCATGGAACTACAGAAAGCAACTAGAACTATCATGTCAGATTTCAAATAGACAAAAATACGTTAAAGCAGATTTCAAGGGTGCAAATCAAGAAAACAGCTTATCTGGAGTTTAACCACAACTAAGATTCCCATGTAAACCTGTTGCTTCTGTCGGAAAAGTAAAACTATAAGGAAAGTCATGGACATTACATTTTCAGCTTAGTCTTCACTCAAAAAAATGTAAAAATGTCAAAACCTTGTTTTTAATGTCAAGAAATAATGGCCTACACATACTTATACAGAGTATCGGGGTGTGCTTAATAATGTTGAGTTCTTTGTTTTGGAAAACCAACATTCTTTCTTAGATATTTGAGCTTTGCCCTTGAAAGTATAAGCCAGGAACAGTGTAGTTTAATAGATTCTTAAGTAGATTCTTCTTGCAGTACTTCAACAGAGCTACAGTATACTACAATGACAGTTAAAGGCTAAACATCATTCCCAAAGAGATGGAGAATTGTCTGTCTGAGACCAAAGGAAAACTGTATTATCACAGGAATAGGTCCTGTTCTGAGAAATTTCTTAAGAAGTTGTCACATCATTTTTTTTACTTCAATATCACATCTAGTGGACAATATAATCTGTATCTTTAAAGTACAACAGATGCTGTAGCTAATGTCTTCACTGTACGCTGAGATATTATCTGTGTGGCTTCCATTACATGGGCTGGAAGGAGTTATAGTTCTTACAAGCAGTGGAAGTACTTCTGTTAAACAAAGAAAAAAAAATGGTTTTCTGATTTTTTATCCAGACAATCATATGCGACAAAAAGATGGGTAAGAAATTTACAACAAACCAAAAAAGAAGACAGTTTGAAACTAAGGGGCAGGTTTATCTTACTGTATAAGGGTCATGTAAAATTATTTACTATAGATAATATTACAGTCAGTGTTGTAACAGAGTAACATACTGGCACCCCCTCTGCCAGAGTGGGCAGAGGTCATGCATCAATTTAACGTGATCAAATTACGCTATGTGAACAAAATAACCCAGCACTGTAACAATGTTAATGTCACCTAACCTTTGTAGATCGCAGTAAGGTCCAAACAATGGTATTGTTGTGCTTGTTTCTTTATCAATAAAATGTTTTTTTTTATTTGTATATATCCTATTTTTATTTGGGGATGATGTTCATAGCAATGCATCGACCAATACATTTTAGATTCAATAAAATAATAATTTCCTAGAATCATCCCAAAACATATGAGTACAGTGAAATGAGGCTTTTACCACTTGTGAATCCCTGGTGATGTGATAGCATTCTTATATTACTGGCAAACGACTTGCAGTTTTCAGTGAAGCAGCTGTCTTTTCAGTTAACCTAGCTGGTAGATAGCAGTGATGGTGAGCAGGATCCTTTCCTTTCAATAGAATTTCATATATACAGTAGAACCCATCTCAATATTGATTTAAATTCAGCAGATATGTCACCCTTCAAATCACAAATAGCAACCCACTGAAGCTCAGCAGGTGTGAACCTGGTCAGTACCTGGATGGGAGACCTCCTGTGAAAGCTAAGGTTGCTACTGGAAGAGGTGTGAGTAGGACCAGTAGGGGGCGCTCACCCTGCAGTCTGTGTAGGCCCTAATGCCTTAGTACAATGACGGGGAAAGTATATGGTAAAAAAAGGTGCCGTCCTTTGGATGAGATGTAAAACTGAGGTCCTGACTAGTATCCTGGTCATTTTTTCCCACCCTTTCCCAATTATGGCCTCCTAATAATCCCCATCTCTGAAGTTACTTTATCAATCTGCTCTCCCCCCCACTGAAAGCTGGTATGTGGGGAGTGTACTGATGCACTTTGGCTGACGTTGCATCATCCAGCTGGGAGCTACATACTGGTAGTGGAGGAGAGTTACCATTATCTGTAAAGAATTTTGAGTGTAGTGTCCAGAAAAGCCCTATATAAGTGCATGGGTTATGTATTATTTACAGATTTTCTCTTCGATGCAGAGAAGTGAAAACGTCTGCACTGTGAAGACCCTGGAAGTCACAATCCGTACCAGATACCACAGAGAAGAGCTTTGTTCACCATCACTCTTAAAAAGTCAAGGGGAATTCAAAACCATCTGAAAGAAAGAGCAGCCTTAAAGGATGGTGATGTGTTTTTTTCCAGGGATTTAAGATTAGATTGTCACAAAGGGAAAAAAAGTGTATTCTAAGAAAGAAAAAGACAGAATAGGGAAATTGTGGCTACAATTGATGATACTCCTGACAAATCTCTCAGGTAAGACATGGAAGAAAACTGGAAGGTGGTGTATTGAGATCTGACCCTGAAAAAGATTATTCTTTTTTTTAATTGAGCTAGAAAAGTAGAACATCCAAGTGCAGTTATGTTCTAGTGTTGTTGCTGGTTTCTGTACCTGTCTCATGTGCAAACATTGCTTTGCTTCATTTTATGTTCATTCTGCTTGAAGACAATATGACGTTTTTGAATTCAATTAATTGATTTTTAATTTTAGTGCCAATTCCTATTATAGTACTTGATGACATTGAGGAAGAAACACAAAGCCCCTGGCAAAAATAAATGGCTACCATAAAGTAGCAGGTCAGTGATTTTGAACAGGTCTGTTTTGAAGCTCAGATTCACTTTGGGTACATGACAAGTTATTCAGCATGAAATAATAGCACAAGTCATTCCATTGCCCTAGGAGAGAATTAGGAATGATCAGCTTAATTTTTATGTTTATATTCAAATCTTTGTATAGTTTTAATTTACTTCAAGGAGACCTGAGCACTTTGTCACCTAAGGTATGGATGCATCTTCAATTCCATGTAGATGTATCTTTACCATCATGTCCCTTCATTACCATGTGGATGAAGGCCTTACCTTCATGGAGATGTAGCCTCTCCATCATGTGGATGTACCCTCACAATCATTATTTTTAGTGTTCTATGTAACAGATCTTTCAACAGTTTGCTTTTTCACTCTATGCTATTTACGTACAGTATATACTATACCCCTCCTTATAAGCTGTAAACGAATCAATTTTGTAGAAACAAATGGAAAATATGAATGTTAAATAGTTTACAGCTCCATGCAATTTAAGTTAATTATTCCAACTTTAGCACTCCCTGTTCAGTCCCAAAGCATGCAATTATTCAACCTAAGGCAAAATACATTGTTTAATAAAAGCCTTACTTTTGTGCCGCTCACTGAATTGCCAATCATTAGCTTAAGATACAAATCTCCAGAGATGAGATTCTGTCAGCAATGAATTTGAACCATGTTTCCTTCAAGTATATCACATTCACTTTGCTTGTACATGTTATCACAGGATCAATAGTTAATATTATGTAACAATGACCCACAGAGTCATCATCACAGCTGGCCCTCACAGCAGCTCCCAGATGTCAACTATAAACAATTATTTAAAAAGGAACAAAGTGTAACTTTTGACGAGCCTCGTTAAAATTCAGGACTACAGCACTCTGAAAGCAGAAAATGGGTTATACAGCTCTAAAATATTAAAGGGAAAACCAAACATAAAGGAAGCCAAGGTTTAAATAGACTATTCATACAGTATATTGAAAGAATAGTAGCAGGGCAAATTCTGCTTCCTTTAAAATGC